CCACGATGCGCAAACCGGCGCGATGTAATATCCTCGCGAATGGTGCACGGTAGCTTGAGCTTCTATCCACTTCCCTTAAACACGCTTAAACCGGTGGTGGCCGGGCACGTTTACGTAATGCATGAATGTAACATCGCGGAATACATGAATTCCTCGGCTGCGGGGAAAACCGCGCGAATCTGAAAATTCTGATTACCGTCGGGTTTCGCGATCGCGCGAAAAAGTTTGATCAAGCCGGCGCGGTCGTGCCGAAAACGCGATTCCGCTCGTAATCTACTCAGACTTTTTTAAATCTCATTCGCGCCCCGCTATTTTCTTCCCCGTGGGGCTTTCAAGGACCGACGCTCGCAGGGCAAAGCGGAATCGCATTGAACGGCGATTTCGTTTCAGGCCCGGTGCCACCAACGTCGCTTGACTTTAAGCTTAGCTTAAATCCGTTCTTTGTCTCTTACCAACTGTTAAGCGACGTTTGGTGAAACCGGGCCTTGGGGCCACTTTAACCAACTCCGATTAACTCAATCAGCAGTGCCGCCAACATGAAGACTTGTTGCGTGTGTCGCTCTTAACTTAATCTTTTCGATGCATGGTATAATTATGATTTCACGTATTAAATTAAAATACCTAATGGCTCAAACTAATGCCCAAAAATACCTAGTAATGCTCAGTAATGCCGCAAATCTGTACACCACAATGCCCTCAGCGATTTACCCCTCGGTATACCCCTTTTGGTTACGGCACTAATACCCAGGATCCCTTGAGAAATACCACGTGATCGAGATCGAAAAGATCAAAGGACCGCCAGAGAGCCGGGCATACTAGTTGTATTATACTATGGTTTTACGAAGGACGCGCTTTCATTCCGCCTCTCTCCGTCGAATGAAGATTCGGGCGAAATTGGAAGATCACGCGACAGGTGTTCGAAAGTAAGAATTCCTTCTCGATAAGAAGAGACGATTCTCTCGCAAGGCTCGTTATTTATTTGTTTCCAATCTCGGCAAGTTCCTTACCTCTCGCCGGCTTCCTTCGACCGACCCCCTCGCATGCGCCGACGATCTCGCGGTGTCCCGGAAGCGCGAGAACTCGGCGCGAGGAGGCGAGGAACGACGGGCTCGACCGACTCGGACAATTTTCGCGCAAATGCGCGCACACACCATCGATCCGGTTACGGCGCGTCGCGTTGCACGCCCGTATAACACGTCTAGGAACGTGCGACTGATTTCGTCTATTCCGAGTTTGCTGAACTTGATTGCCGCTATTCAGGCATCGGGATTGATGGCGATCAGCCCCGAATTTGCCCTTTGCAGTGCCAATTACCGGGCGGCCATTATTAAAGAGTCGGAAGCGCGACAGGCGGCCGCGATCTCAATTTACTTAACGACTTCGCGATTCACGTCGCTCAACGACGTGCGCATTTCGCGCGAGTCACAGCACCGAGGAGTCCGCCGCTCGAATGCTCATTTCGAAGACGCGATCTCAAATGTCCTCCCTCCCTTTGCCCGCTTTCCGACTCTCCCCTTAGGCTTGGTTTTTCATTTTCTGCACGGAAAGAAAGATGTAGCTGCCGTAGCTACAAACTGCACGCGGCAACTAAATTTCAGTAGAATATGGACAGTTAATATTTAGTTCTGATAGCTAAATATTTTGCTACTGCGCGATCTTAAAGATGCGATCTTAAAAGAAAAAGTTCAGTAGTAAAATGTGGACAGCTAATATTTAGTTCTGATAGCTAAATATTTTGCTACTGTGCGATCTTAAAGGTGCGATCTTAAAAGTCCCCCCTTTCTTTGCCCGCTTTCCGGCTCTCCTCTTACGCCTGGTTTTTCATTTTCTGCACGGAAAGAAAGATGTAGCTGCACGGAAAGAAAAATGTAGTTGCCGTAGCTAAAAACTGCTTGCGGCAACTAAATTTCAGTTGTAAAATATGGACAGCTAATATTTAGTTGTGATAGCTAAATATTTTGCTACTTGCCTATTGTATTAGATGCGATAGCAAACCGTTTGCTGTTTAGAAATTTATAGTTATGGCAGCAAAATATTTCAAGCAAACCATGATTAGCTATGGTAGCGAAATTTTTCTTTTCAGTGTGAAAAGTGCACGCGGCGACTAAATTTCAGTAGTAAAATGTGGACTGATATTTAGTTCTAATAGCTAAATATTTTGCTACTGTGCGATCTTAAAGGTGCGATCTTAAAAGTCCCCCCTTTCTTTGCCCGCTTTCCGACTCTCCTCTCACGCCTGGTTTTTCATTTTCTGCGCGGAAAGAAAAATGTAGCTGAAAACTGCACGCGGCGACTAAATTTCAGTAGTAAAATTTGGACCCTAATATTCAGTTCTGATAACTGAATATTTCGCTACCGTGCCGATTGTATTAGGTACGACAGCAAACAGTTTGCTGCGCCTCAGAAATTTATATAGCAGCGAAGGCTCGTAGGAATTTTATTTGTCAATTGCGTCCGGCCGTGTTCGAAGCCGACGGAGAAAAATATCACTCGCGCAAAAGGGACACCGCGCGCGACGAGAGAAATTACGCAACAGAATCCAAGCGACAAGCGATATTCCTCCTGCGCCGAAAGCGATGGACGTGCGGGTTTCCGCTCTTTGAAAATTCGCGCGGAAAATTGCCGAGAAATCGTCGCGAAAAACGGGAGAAGCGTGAGAAATTGTCAATTGCGGCCGTCCCGATTGTGAATTTCCGAAACTTATCGAGCCGCGCATACGTTCGCGGTATCGGCACAAGGGGAATGATATGGTAATAGTCGGCGGATAATCACTCACCCGAACGCCGACGACCGCTCTCGCCTCTCTCGATTGATCCATTACGGCTGATTACGGCGATTCCCTCGACGCTCCTCGGCCGCTTCCTCGACGCGCGACGTACACTCACACTCGCGGGCAACGGTGCAAAACACGGTAAGTTACATAGCGCGCGCGCGCGCTACTTCGACGCGACAGAGAGCGATCGATATCGGATCGAGCGACGATGAAGATAGATTCACTCCCGAATCCGCGGCACTCGTCGCAGCCCGACGCGAAGATCCGGGACGGAACGCGCCAACATGGCGTCTCGCGAATGGCGCGAAAACGGGCGCGATCGCCGCTCGACTCGTCGCGACGGCGATCCCTCGACGCTTCCTCGGCGCGCGACGTCAACGGGCGGGCAGAAATGTCTCGACATTTCCATAATTATAGAATACGTTATAGAAACGTCCCGGCATTCCCGCCTGTCTGTGTGCACTGCCGTCCCCCCCCCCTCGCGGATAATGGCGCGAAACGCGGGAAAGAGCGGGAAAAAGCGCGCGCGCGCTACTTCGACACGACGGAGAGCGAACGATATCGGGTCGAGCGAGCGGAGCGACCAACGCTAGATCTCGCCCATTGTCGGCACGAACGCTAGACTCACTCATTGCACTCCCGAATTCGCGGCACTGTCGCGCCCGGCGCGAACAAGATTCGAGAAGGAACGCGCCAACATGGCGGCTATCGCGCGAACGACGCGAAGGAACGAGCGCGATCGCCGGCCCCGGGGCCGGTGCGTCGCGGCGGCGATCCCGCGACGCTCCTCGATCGTCCCGAAGTCCCGCGGCGTCCCTGAACGTCGAAAATGACACTCGCGGCGTTCGTCGCGCGAGCCCGCGAAACGGACAGGCGAACGGGGGCTGACGGGGCGCGAAGCGGCACGGCCGCCGGTCGGTCGCGAACCGAAAGACGCGTTCAATCGCGGTCCGGCGAGTCGATTGACTACGGCGTTACACTCCTCGCGGCTACGCTCGGCACATCCGACACTCGTTCGTACGCGAGACTCGCCCGAGACGGGCGAACGAACGCGAAAACGCGGGAGCGATCGCGGCCACGTCACGCACCGACGCCACCGACTCACTCGCGTGAATTTGCCGGCGAATGCCACGCGCCGGTCACGTGACGCGACTAACTTCGCGCGCCTACGCGACGCGACTGGCGGCAAGCTCGTATTCCGGCGGCGCGGCGTCACGCGTTTTTTCTAAACAACACAGAAGTAACCGACGTTCCTACGCAGGTAATAAACAATTCCGGGAATTTGTTTTTCACGTCGAAAAGTACGTATCGGTTATTCTCGAACGAGTCAGTCGCTCCAGGGTCGCGCTCCGCGCCGGACGTGTCGTTTCCCTCTCGGGACGGTCGCTGAAATTTGTACGTGTGAAAAATACATTTCTTTTATTCGCCGCTATACGAGTGCACGTTCAATCCGGCCCTGCGATCGGTCTTTCCTTTGAAAGCTTTCCAACAGATGAGTTATTGGAATCATTGTTGGGGGGGGGGGGGCCTTCGGTTTTCTTGCAGCGCGTAGTGTGAGCCGAAAGTACGACATGAAAGTTGAGATTTCCATACAAAGTACAGTACGTCAAGGCCCGGATTCACCGACGTTGTGTAAATTTAAGCTTAGCTTAATTCGTTCTTTGTCTCCTTTCAACTGTTACTTTAGAAGGAGACAGACGCGAATTAAACTAAGATTGTGTTAAACTAACAGTAAGTTGAATAATCTTATTTAAAATCTTTTCCAACATTATTATTACATCAAGCGTCATCCCCTCGATACGACGTTTTATTACAGTGATAATTCACCCTCGATATAAGTTTAGAATAAAATAACATGATAGAACATAATGAAAACAATACATTTGAAATATTTCTATTTTGCGCGTCCAAAGTGAACGTGTTATACAAACGTGGGAGTTTTTTTTAAAAAAGTATCCTATATTTCGTGCATTTGAATTTATATTGTAAATCCATCAGTAATCGAGTGATATTACACGATAAATGTTTAAAATTTGACAAGTCCGAGTGAATATATTTATCGAACTGTAAAACAGTGTAACTCTTTGTGTAAGTTCTTGTATTTTTTCGCCATAAAAAAATACATATTATTTTCACATAATAATTCCACATCCGACGCGAGCGAAATAATATCATTGCGCCTATGCGACTATTAAACACTCACGGCGATACACGTTTTTTGTTACAGGGAATCTGTTCGTGATAGCGGCTATCCTGTTAGAGCGAAACCTGCAGTCCGTAGCAAATTACTTAATTGTCAGTTTGGCTGTCGCGGATCTTATGGTCGCCTGCCTCGTTATGCCTCTCGGAGCTGTTTACGAGGTACGTAACTTATCACATTGTATTAAGACTGCGAGTTACTATCGTGCAATCAGTTGGCGGATGATATCGGGTGCCCGCAAGGGGTAAACCGCTGACCAAAATCATGTACACCAATGCCTACTAATGCCCGGTGGGCATTACTTTATTTTGCTAGCTTGTTTTAAATTGGCGTCGGGAAGAAGGCCAGTGCGAGCCAAACGCGGGTATTCGCGCGGAAATGTTCAGTGTGAAACTTTTTATTGAATTTGTAAATTAATCGTCAAACTGCCGAACCCAAAAAGCGAGTGGACATTACTTTATCTTATTAGGCAAAATGTTACCCTGGCTGGGATAATATTTCTCGCGTAATAATAAATTTTCTCTATTATAAAAACTGCCAGATATGGTCAAGAAAACACTGACGTCGTTTATCTTATCTTGTTTCATTTTATTTCGTCTTACTTTATCTTGATAAATGCCCCTGCAAGGCCTAATGTCCAATAAAACTAATGCCCAAAAAATGCTTAGTAATACGCAGTAATGTCCAGTAATACAGCAAATCTGTACATTACAATGTCCTCGGCGGTTTACCCCTCGATTGCTCGACAAGAAAACGCCCGCGATCGTAAAGTTTTTGCGTTTGGATACAACAAAATATGCAACTTGTCGCGACATCCGTCTGTTGGCGACGTCGATGCGAATTCGGTGCAGGAATGGTCTAACTCGAGAATTCCGTAATACGAAATCTGCACCCGACGCCTGTAAAATTACGGTAAAATTGTAATAAAATATTAAATTGAATTGTAACCTTTAGTACGAGTGAGCCGACAGCGTTACCTTCAACATTAGATTAAACAATTAGCTTCATCGTGAATGAAGTACGTTTTGGCACGTGTATCGAGGAGGACACGCGTGTGCATTAATTTTACCGCGTTTTATCGCGGCGTAAATTCGCGAAATAAAAATTTTGCGAGTTCTTTTAGTGTGGAACAGACAAGCTGCCAGCCATTCCCTTCGCACGTAGAAGTATCATTCTCTTTCCGCGCATTACACTTTCATTGTTAAACATTAACCTATGGTCCGTTGCAGCCATTCACAAGTTTATAACGTCCGTAAAAAAAACCGCGCGTATTCACCGCTCGTTTCTTCCGCGTTTCTTTACGACATCGTCCCTCGCTTGAGGGAAAAATCCGTGCGATAGAAGGCGGACGCGCGTATTTCCCGAAAATTCAGCACTTAAACGTTGAATTCTTTTAACAAACTTGGCAAGTTCGTTAATTGCATCTTACGTTCGCCGTGACGACGGCAAAATATCCTGAGAAAGCGCAATGCATCAGCTGCAGCAATTTGTTTTGGAGTTTCGCAAATTTTCCCGGAGAATTTCAGTAATGAAGAGAATTGCAGAAAATACGAATTACGGGGAAGAATTTAACAATAATTTATTAACACGCGAGACTTTGATTCGCGAAAATTACGGCAGAATTCGCAATCGACTACGTGCAGTAATTACGGCGGGATAATTTGCAGTAACGTTCACTTTGTCATAAATGACACGTCGCGTAATTAAATGCTTAATATTATGTATCGGGATTTCGAGGAGAATACACGTGGAATTTTAATGCGCGTATTTTATTAGAATTTTATCTCGATCGTGGCATTTGATAAATGCCACAATCTCCAAAGAGGACTTTAATGTCACGACCGCGATCTTTAAAAGCCGAGGCAGTTTCCTACGCCGAGATATCTTTTTCGGTGTGTGCCCGGCGCAAACGCGAACGACGGGTGAACGCTGTTACACATATACATATTCAACAATTAACGCGCGAGTATACAGAGATAACAAGCGATATAGCGTGTGTACATACGAATGATTAGCTTTCGATTCGAGCCCCGGGGGAAGTTTGCCGCGCGCCATCGCCGTGCATTTATACTTAATAAACGGCGGTAAGTAAGTAAGCAGAAACGGCAACATAATAGGAATAACATAAGCGTTAATTACCGAGGCGCTTCGCGCGCTATTTAATTAACGGAGATTTCAGCGGGGAGGATTACCGCGGGAGATAATACGTCCGAGCGCGGCCGTCCCTCCGTATCTTCAAATACGATCCGTTTTTAAGCACGTTCGCGCGTTTGAAATACAGCGGGATTGATAAGCGTCACGATTATACGCAGAAATACGCGCTAATGATACGAATTTCACTACAATCGCGATCCACGTGAAAATATTTCCTCGCCCCCCCCCCCCCTCTCTCTCTCTTTCTCTTTTTTTTTGGAGAATTTAGGCGTAAGCTACTAGAGCACCTGCGATCTGGGACAGTATGGTAATGGCAAACAAGTGTTAGGGCATTTTAGTATTAGGTTATCAAATATCTTTGTTATTTGTCTATTGGATTGTCATGCGAAATGTCATCCTGCTCATCGTGTTAGGTAATTTCAATTTCTCTGTTCCAAAAACCCTATTTTATATGATACCATATTCTTACACCTTTATACTCTATATATTCACATATTTTTATATATTTTTATAAATTGCGTTCTCACTCACAGCTATACTTTCTATAGTAAGTTTTGCTCTCGCGCTTTAGGAGACTTGCCCCAGAGCGTGTAATAAATAATGATTCTGATTCTCTCCCTCTCCTCCCCCCCCCTCTCTCTCTCTCTCTCTCTGCACTCTGGACTATATCCATTTAGCGTGATTATGCGCATTAGCGGCCTTCTCGCCTAGCGTGGAATCTTTCCGATGTATATCCTTATTTAGATCCCTCGTTTTCTTAACGCAGCTTCTCGCGTCTACGCCAGATACCTTGTTTCCCCGAGTATAATGCGTGCTCCTCCACGCATCTCCCGCGAATTCCTCCTCCCCCCCCCCTCTCCTCTCTCTTCCTTTCTTTCTCATATCATATTTTCCTACTTTTCCCTCATATCATATTTCCACACTCTCGCTACATTTTACGACACGCACCTGCGAGTCATCCTTCTCGTTTTTCACAGACGTCTCTGCAGCGTAAAATAACTTTCTCTCTTCCCGTCCCGTTCTTTAAGTCCGCCTCCTCGCCCGCGTATATCGATATATCTTTTCCGCGTTATCGTTAACGCGGCGCAATTCTATTTCATCCGCCGTTCAGCCAACGGGCAGACGCATTAGCGATTTTTACCGCTGTGCGCTAGATCGGCGGGACGCGCGCATCCATCCTCTTAACACGGACACATAGAAATTTATACGTCTGCCGTTTAATCCGAACATTTGATGGATGTCCGCTTTACAACCGCCTCTTTCGCCCGGCGTTTATCGGCGGACGCCAGAAACGTGCACGCGAACGACTTCATTAACTGCGCGTGTACACGCGACGCTTGATTAAACCCTTTGGAGACTTTAGAAGATGCCCGATACGAGAAGAATTGTTAAGAAGGGGCTTTGCTTTGATGCTCCGTGCGCGCCAGCATTGCCGATAATCGACCCCGACGCACAGATAATCTCCCTGTATTTTAATCGATCGCGCGATCTGTCTCAAAAGTCGCCGGGCATTTCAGCTCGCGGGGCAAGTTTAATACGAATATGCGTATATACGACACAGAAATGTCTTGCGTACAATTAACAATTTCACACATGATAGATCGCGCGGCCCCTTGTCGCGAGAATCTCGAACGATCCTCGACGTTAAAACTGCCCCTCCATCGACTTCCGTATGCTACTTTTGAGAGGTGTTTATATTTCCGGAAGATGGATGCGACTCATCAACTTCCGGAATGTTCTAATCTCAAAGTATAAAGGAACGGATGTCTATGGGCGAGAAGGGGCCGCTGTGCTGAAAGGAGGACAAGGGACGATTGGCTTTCGAAGATAGATTCCAATACCATGAATGGACTTTTAAGCAGGCATGCATCAGTTCACTTCTCCGCTCTCTTGTTCTCTCTCTCTCTCTCTCTTTCTCTCGCCAGCTCTTCTACAACATCGCTCTTATCGCCTCCCTTCCTGTGCTCTCCGTTGTCCTTCCGTCGACCACTTCGCTCGGCTGCGATGTTTTCCCTTTCGACCCTCAATCCGTATTTTCTCGTGCTCCCTACTGCGTGGAAAACTGTCGCCCGAAACTATGTGCAATTCTTAACATACTAATCAAACCGAACGCAACACATACTTGAAGCGAATAAAAATAAATTCCGTTTACCTGAGACGAGATTTGATTCGTTACATAAAAATGGGCAAAAATTGCTTCTTGCGCAAATATCGTAAAAATATCGCGATAGACCAAGCGAAACAATTTGGAGAGCAATTACAGCGGAAAGTTCGATATGCGATCTACACCGATGAAAGGGTGAAATTAAACTCGGGTTTGAGCAGCTTAATTATTAAAGAAAGATTTTTTATTATGTAAGAGCCGACGTTATATCTTTATTTATTGAAAGTTGAAATACAACTTCTTGTTGGTCCAACTGGCAATATAATTAATTAAATGTTGCATTGGTACGACGTTTCGACCCAAGTATCAGGTCCTTGTCTAGTAATAGAACTCGTGCATAAATGTTCGCGGAGCATAAATTATAGCAGACTCACAAGTCATTGTCAACGCAGGTTCAACTCGGACCTCTATAACGCGCGAACGTGCTCACTTCCCTGCCGGAAATAATTCTACAAAATTCTACAAAAGTATAAAATATAACTGCCAGAATCTACAAAATTTTACGTACGTTTAAAAAGAGTTATAAAAATCAATATAAAAACGCTAGAATTGGAACACTTTTGTTAATTTTTGTAATATTCTACAAGTAAGCAGATGCTTTAATAGACTTTGTCGTTTCTCAAATGTTTAAAACTAGCAAAGTTTTGTACCAATTTTTACGAAATTGTACATTTTCTTGAAATACCACTTGCAATAATTTTTTGATTTCAGAACATTGTAATTTGTTGTAATATTTCGTAGATATTGTAGATATTTACAAAAAAAAGATGTTTTAACGAAGATATAAAAATTTCTACAAATTTCTATTTCAAGTAAATTTTTCTAGTTATTTATAGAAATTTCCACTAGGGTTAGGTCATAATAATTTTCCTGACGATTTCCTGCGTTGACAATGACTTGTGAGTCTGCTATAATTTATGCTCCGCGAGCATCTATGCACGAGTTCTGTTACTTGATAAGGACCAGGACTCTATTCTCGAACTTGTTCGCTATTTTACGTATACGTACAATTCGAACGGTAAAAATGCGCATCTTTAAAAGTGTAAGCATGTAATATCTCCTAAATCCATTTTTTTAATTATATCTTTTTTTACGATGGTTACGATCCAATATTTTTATATTTGCTTTAATAACTTTTTCACTTCACTGAGACCATTGAAACGTATACTTTTCCCTCGAAACGTATGGTATGGGCCATTCGTTGCATGGTACACGAAAAATTGCGTATACGTTGCACTTTACGACTGTCAAGAATACTGTTCTAAGGATTTTCCATTGATTATTCGCAACTTGTTACTTACGTATACGTAACTATTTCAAGAATAGAGCCCCTGATACTTGGGTCGAAACGTCGTACCAATGTAACATTTAATTGATTGTATTGCCAGTTGGATCAAGAAGAAGATTTATCTCAATTTTTATTCATCACTGGCGACTTTAAGTATACCCCTCTACTCGGTTATATCTTCGGCTTTGGAAAAATATGCTGGTATTACTTTTATGGTATCGCGGTAATAAGCGGAAAGGAACAAATGTCCATTTATCAGCGCGCTTATCCCGAGACAATAGACGGCGAGGGGCTCGCGATTCCCGCGGCCGAATCGATTTCTCGCTCGTGCCCGCGCACGACGCGCTAAGCTCACGCTCTCTCATAGATAATTCTGTTTATTGCAGATAAACTCGGCGTGGTCACTCGGTCCGGAGCTCTGCGACATGTGGACCAGCAGCGACGTTCTGTGCTGCACAGCCTCGATATTGCATCTGGTGGCTATCGCGGTCGACAGATATTGGGCAGTCACCGATATCAATTATATACAGGTTAATTAACGCCGTTGCGGTTATCGAGAGGAAGTCGGAAATTGTCCGGGATACGACGCGAACGATACGGTCTTTGTTATCCGCTGCCGTTGACACCGCCACTCGCCACGCCGCGCCGCGCCGCGCCGCGCGGGGGTTGACGCGATCGAGATCGCGACGCGGACGGGGCTGCATATCGTCCCGCGGATCTCTTTGAATCCCACAAGATCGCTGTGACGCGTGGAAATGCAATTCGCGATTTTATCAATTCGCGAATGACATGCATAGAATCTGAATAGAATCCGGCGCGCGAAAACGCGGCGTCGCGGGAAATTTCTCCGCCGCTCGCTAATTCTCCCTTCCCGCAGATTTACGCGCATTTTATATTTACCCGCGGAGATTTAATCTTCTCCTCCTTTTCTGGAGCCCTCGTGCATTTTTAACTCGCGCTTTCGGTTTAAAGCTCGAACGCGGGCATCGTTCGTTTTATCCACCTATCTGCCGAAAGTGTAATAAAAGTCCGAGTCTTTCCCGGTGTTTCAAGTCCGCGAGACAGATATTTCAGTGTACTCGCGCGAATCTATACATTCGCTACGAAATGAGGTCGTGAAATCGTTCATAAATTTTCGTCGAAAATTGGGCGAAGGCAAATTCCGCTCTCTCGTGCGCGCACGCCGATGTAACGAGCATTTACAGGGAGTATTACAGGGAACGCCGCTCATGAAGTATGAAAAAGGATAAGGCCGTAAAGCGAAACGACCAGGACTTACCGTCCATAAATATGTCTGACCGATATGAGACGAATATGTTATGTAATACTCTCGGCATGCACCCAGTGCATCTCCCCTATGAATGGCTCGGGGTTAGTTCGGAATTAGCTTAAAGCTCGATAAGCTGCGTAACGATCAGCCAGCCCGGCTCGAATTTAACGGCTAACTTGCATTTCCTAACTGATGGAAAGAGCATATCGGTTTCCTAAACTGGCGAGTCAATTATCTTACAAATAATGGAGCGCGCGATGAATTGGCTTGAGTCGTGTATCCGCCGCGAAGATACGCAGATAAAGCAGGCACCGCAATTTTCTCAAACGAGCGGAATAATATGTGTGCTCCCTTTCTCTCTCCGCCTCTCGAAAAAAAAAGAACTAGGTTTACGAGCCAATCTAATTAAAAGTTTAATTTACTGATACAAGACAGTGTTCTTAGTAATGTACGGGGCTTTGCGGGAAGTAGAAAATTTATTAGGCCAGTAAAGCACTTTATTCTAATTTTAGAGTTAACTTGCATCACCAACTGTGCACGAAAAATATATGGAAATTGTGTCGTAAATATTTAAACGGCGTACATGCTAAGAGTCAAGCCATTGAAACGCAGGAAAGAGTAAACGCTAGTCGTTTAGTTATAGTTAGTGTTGAAACGTTGAAATGACGGAGCGCACCATTAACGCGCCCCTTCTATTTCAAGGCGAGGAATCCGAGAAGAATCGGCATCCTGATCGTCACCGTGTGGGTGGTATCCTTAGGAATCTCATTAGCGCCTCAGTTCGGCTGGAAGGATCCTGATTATTTGGTCCGCATAGCCCAAGGGACGTGTCTCGTGTCGCAGGATTCTGCATATCAGGTGAGTACTTCCGGCGAATTGCGAGCGGAAATACTCGATTAATATTCGCGACTGGGAATTGCGCTCGTCTATTCGGTGGAATTGAGAAAGTGTTAACACTTTGAGGAACGTTACGCGGAATATTGAGTCGCTCCTAGATCGCGTTACAGATAGAATTTTGCCTTGCGGAAATTATAATGGAAATGTCAGATCCCAGATAGCACGAGACACTTCTATGAACAATTTTGAGATATTCTTCAATAATATTTGGAAAATTCCATCGGCTATTCTAATATATTTATTTTATGTTCGTGCGTACATTCGACCGGCGACTATAAATCTTTTTCGAATGCGAATAGAATAATCTATCGAATATAGCGTGTCGGTTATATATGATCACTGGTTTCACTGCCTTTTACATGAGATAAGTGTATTACACAATAAACAATGTGCAATGCATAAACTCGATGAATATTCAAAAATTATTCCGAACAAATACTCCAAAGACATTCTCGACGAATATTCTAAGAACGTTCTTCTTTGTTAGGAATATACGATTTCTAATTGTAATAATCTATATATATCTATAGAATATTCGATTGGAGTATTCTGAAATTAAAAATATTTGCACTCGAGAAGATTATTCATAGAACTATGTGTGCTATCTGGGATACAGTATCTTATAATGGGGATAAATTTACATTTTCTCTCTTCTCGCGGGATGAACTCACCTAGATCTAACAATAAAGTAGAATTTTTTTATGTGCAAGTGATGTATTACGGGGGAGGAACTTCGTGTATATTATTGAAAAAAAAAGAGTAGATGTATAATAAATATTTAAATTATCTTACAGATCTTCGCAACTTGCGCGACGTTTTATGTTCCGCTGCTAGTTATTTTATTCCTGTACTGGAGGATATTCCAAGCGGCGCGAAAGAGGATCAGGAAGAGGCCCGGCACCATCCTTCAGCCGCCGCGCGAACGAAGGGGCATCCTCAGGCTCGTCACGAGAAGGTTGTGGCCTATTTTTTTTGCTTCTCCTTCCTGGTATCTCTTTGTCACAACGTCAGAATCCCCACCTAAATCTCAAACGTGTAATCGAACGTGTCACCTTTTGTAGTTGCAATAAACTCGAAGGGCTCGGGGAGTAACAACGCGCTAAGCCACGTGAATAAATCTCAGCAGTCGAGCTGCTGAGAAAATGGCGTAAATCCTTCACGAGATTTAGTTTGCTCCCCTATGTCTTGGCAAGAATATATTCTTTATAGGGTTCATCGTTTAACTTGTAAATAAATATTTTTATAGCACGCAGTATTTTATCTCAAGCGGCTTAGCATGCTCTAAGAATTTTTATCTCAATGACCAGTGCAGGCCACGAGAACAAAGGTATGAATTTACCTGTTGACTGTTCTGTCGTAAAAAGAACCTTATTACTGCTTAATAGTTGTATATCTTTTGAGCTTTATCGCCTTTACAATAAATTGTGTTTGATAGGCATTAATCTGCCGTAAATTATTTCTTCATTAAAGTAGCACTAATATTATACAAGTATTTGCTTAGCATTGCTCCGAAACAACACGGATATGATTGTTTACATTGGAATAAGTATAATTAATCTTGCATTTTTTGCCATCTCTTTAGATTTCTATTAAAAGGAAAATAATTTCTCTGTTTATTTATCTTGCCTCAAAGATCGTCAAAAACAGCGCGAGCTCACAGACCAAATTTCATATATTATTTTCTCTCTTCTCGCATCAATTTTAATAATTATTAATATAATAATTAATTCTAATTCCCTTATATTCTCTAGCTAAGGAGTATATTAAGCTATAAATTAATGTATCTTCTGCAACTATTCGAGAAATATCGTATCCCGGTATTTATCAAGAAATGAATATACGACATATATATATATATATATATATATATATAGCTATCGCTTCTCTGCACGATCTCTTCTCTCGACGGCCTTTCATAAAGATTCTTAATATCGCCGACCCCACGTCGTGTCTCAGCCACCGTCATTATTCGCGCGATAACGAGTTGACGACGGATGAGCTTTTCTCCTCTTCTCTCTCTCTCTCTCTCTCTCTGCCTTTCTTGACTAGCATAATTATGATTTATCTGGTTGTAGGCCGCGCGAGGAGTCGACGGCATTCACCATCACGAGAACCACGCCGGACCACTCGTCCATCTCGCCGGAGAAGTCGTCGTCGTACAACGGCGCGAATGCCACACCGTCGACGACGGTGACGCCGACGGCGGTCTCGACGACGACGACGACCACCACGACGACGACGTTGACGAATCCGACCAGCACGAGCCAGCAGCAGCCGGTGGTCAAGTGTACGAAGCGCACACGCGAGACGATCGAGTCGAAGCGCGAGCGTAAGGCGGCAAAGACCCTGGCGATCATCACGGGTGCCTTCGTCGCCTGCTGGCTACCGTTCTTCTTCACCGCGCTGCTGCAAGCCACATGCCGGATCTGCCAGCCACCCGAGATCGTGTCCAGTGTGTTCCTGTGGCTCGGATACTTCAACAGCACCCTCAACCCCGTAATTTACACTGTGTTCTCGCCGGAATTTCGGCAGGCATTCAAAAGGATGCTGTGCGGTGGTACGCGGGGACTTCGCTGACAGTGGATTTAATTCCTTTGCTCCGTGCGCGCGGCCGGATGAAGAGGATACGTGAAACTCTTGTATATATATACATATATTTATACGCAATACATACGTACGTATGTATGTATGTATTGCAAACGCTTGCTACCCAGCGTTTTCCTCGGTGTTGTGTAATATCTGGATGCCCAACTCTAAATATTGTTATATTAAGTGGATACACTTGCGCGGTTACCTGAGATTTTAGGTGCGGTAGTAAGAAAAATCAACTGTTAATGTTACATTTATTTTTAAATACTTTCTCAAACGACGCTCAAAAAGGTTGAGTTGAGAATGTCTCATTTTCTGATGCAATTATTATCTTGTCTTTTTAATATATTCTCTACATTTTTATCAACGATGTAATACTCTCATCGATTTTAGGATATATTGTTCGAATCGTCTATCCTTGTACCAAAATCAATTCTGCCAGCATCTAGACATGACGGACAGCGTCCAACACAATACTGCTTCTTCCCTCTGCAGCTGTTCCAAATAATCGAGCCGCGCGCCGTTACTCTCGTAGATATTGTTAATAAACGCACACGACTCGTTCTCATAAACGAATCCAATTGAAGTTCAACTCACGATTGGCGTCAATTACAGTTGACGTTAATCGACAACGACGAGATACGATTCCACCTTAGAATATTTTTGCGAAACGCTTCCTTAAATCACCGAAAAATCAAACGAACGACAATGGTACAACATTGCTCGCGATTTTTTTAAGCGGGCGGAAATATTTCACCACCACTGAATACTTTAATTTATGAATTTTATTGAATTCACCAGAATCGAAGTCAGAGCACATTTTAACGCATAAACTGGACGACACACATATGACAATGAAAGCTCTTGTCGCTCAAGAAATAAATAAATTTAAGGTATGATTATAAATTTTTTTATTACAATTATTATAATATAAAAATGATGTGTATAAGCAAAGAGCCATATGAGTATCTAAGTAACATAGATGCTTAAAATTCACAATCTCTAATATTTTATTTAAACGAGGGAAATGTGGACGAAAGCGTGGATGGCTCCGTTAAAAGTTTTGGTTTAGCATCCGTAGCACTTAGACATAATGTATAGTTGACATAACCGAAGTGAATGAGAGAGAGAGAGAAAAAAAGAGAGAGAGAGAGAGAGAGAGAGAGAGAGAGAGAGAGAGAGAGAGAGAGAGAGAAAGAGAGAGACACGTCTCGTGTTTTGTCGTCCAGTGAAAATCCCTTGAGATGTGCTCTGATAATGCGAAAAGAAAATCGCGAGGGATGCTCTCGCTGAATCATAATTGTACAGTATTGTGTATAAGCGCGCGATAGTGCTTAGCGATCATACTTCCGAGCATTACTGTTAAAATAGCTATGTATAAAAGTTTTAAATCTTGGCTTGTCTCCAGGGTACGTGATGACGTACTTAATGATACGTAATGACAAGCCTGAGTGTACATTAATTGAAACCGCGACGAAACGAATAGGTACGCGGCGAGATGGACACCCGTCGCGATCGCGTATAAAACTCCCACGTTTAAATAAGAACGCAACCTCAAGCTCGACTCGTACTAGGTACGTCTTACGCTTTTCAACTTGGTTCGAAAGTTAGAAGTACTCTTTGGGAAATTTCTCAAGCGCAAAAGATTTCTCGCCGCCTTATGAAGATTTGCTTGCGCAACTTTTCTCGTACGGAGTTTTTTAATAAAGAAACTAAATAAGGTATCCCACACAAGCAACAGAATTGAATAGAAAGGTTCGCAGCGTTCCCTTTAACGAATGTTACAGATTTATTTTCACGAATCAAGCGCAAAGTAAAATAGACGATAATCACTAACAAGGGACAAATATAAATTAATGAGCGTTTTGAGAGTGAGGAGAGCATGACACGTCACAGTAAAATATCGCAATCTAAGCTTACATCGTGGATGCAATGTTAGAATCGAAAAATGATTTCGCAATAAATTACCCCCGTCTGATATTTGGAGATGTAACTTTTAACTTTAGCCTTGCCATTCAATTCTGCGTCTTATAGCCAAACGTAAGCCTTTGAATTTACTTAGTAGTAGGGTAACATCCAATACTATAATATTACTGCATAACATGGCGAATGATGTTTAATTTACAGAGCAACGACTGACCGAGATCTGCGTTCGCATTTGAAATGAATAGGAATTGAAAAGCGACACTTTTCGTTCGTAAAGTCTACTTCGAAATGCCGAAAGTGCACGTGCATTCATTTCGTTTCTACGTCAACTTACGGGCCACTAGGCGCTCGCTACTTAGAAGTAAACATAGTTTTAGACTAATTATAATAATGTATTAGGCAGATTGTGATAAACGGCGACAATAGCTTTCTCTTCGTCAGAAATGACAAGACTTTATTTCACTCAATTCCAAATAACGTGAAATAGACGCGTTCTTCTCGCTTAGGAAACTTATAATAAGTAAGAACACAAAAAGTATATTTGAATGTACCTTTTATTCGTGTATTCATGGTAATTTTCTTTCGCTATACGTAACTGCTACCATATGCTATATAACAATTACTGAACGTAAATGTAGATTTAACAAAAGAAGATTTACTAATTAATTATGGTTTTTATCGACTCAGACTGCTTAAATTAAAACTTGTGGATAAATTCTTCTCATTTCTGACGACCATTGTTGCTGAAATGACGGCAATATCGGATACGCTTGCGCTATCTAATTATGTCACTGGTCGTCGTTTTACTCACACGACATGACTAATAAAATATAACGTTTTCTTCACGTTCATTTTTTATGTAAGTCTCCAAGCAGAAAAGTGAGGCGTTGTCTGCCGAACATTTTCAGCAATTTCTAGGAAAGATGGAAAGTCATCGGCATCGATAGCTCGAGAAACAAAGAGCAAAGATTATTTTACTTTATATAGAAACATTTTGATTTTTATATCAGGTTATTTTTACTGTTTTTACGAGGACTAAATTTACCCGCGAGGGTTTATGAAGGGCTAAATTTTTACCAGGCAGGCGTTTAATCTTGCAGATCTAAATACCAGTCGAAAAACAGGAAGCTCTGATAACGTTAAAGGATCGATAGCGCCGTTGGGTGTACCGAACAAACACGTTTGATGTGGTTAACGCTCATTAATAACGTTCTGTCAAAGTGTCATAACAAAATTGATCGGAAGCAATTTGCGTTTGTGAAATGTGAAATAAGCTCCGGCGAAATACGTGGCAAAATGTTCAGTGAATAACGGGATACCGGGTAGATCGTGTAACGCTTGTAAATCGACAAACAATCGTATCAACGATCGTTTGCCTTCCCGCAAATATTGCCTCGTGCAAGGGATACAGGAAGACGTTAATGAAATTACGAAGCACGTACGGATGAGAGCGCGTTCGCGGAGAAGCATCGGGATGAAGCGGATGGTGGTCGGCAAGATAAATATTATCCAGTGAATTAAGTCCATAAGACCGCGCAATCATCCAGACGATAACTTGTTGATATAAACGCCAGGTATGTTCATTTGCAGTCTTACGGAAGCATCGAGCAGAAGGGGAAAGACGGAAGGACGGAAGCGAGAGAAAGAGCAATAGAAAAGATTGGGAGATTGGAAGAGAGCGCGAATGAGACCATGTATTTACAACGATGCTTCATGTGTACTTGTCTTTGCAATCATAAACTGAAATAAATCACGGAAAAGTTTGGAGAAACTTGCTTGAATGGCTTCTCGCTGTGTTTGCAGTGTCGGCGATATCGATGCCTCGAGTTTCCCGCGGTCCCATTACGGACTGTCGCACAAGTAATTTCGTTTCTCACTTTTTTTCTCATTCCATTATCCACTTATTCGACTTTTTCAGTTATGGTTTGTCACTCGTGAGGAATCTTTTCGACTTCCGTGCAAGTGACATTAAGTATAACGTCAGAAGAATTGGCACATACTTTTTGTATCTCACATTTTGCTTCTTCCCAGAGTTTTCATTTATAATTTTTACATCATCTTTATTCTTACAGAAATGAGATACGTTCAGCGTTAGATATATAAAATATATAAACATCGAACTAGACATTTGCATTATTTGCAGGATGCTGTGTGTTTGAGATTTATCTCTAAAAACGCATAATATGCGCGTGATATGCATTAACAATACCGCAATGCATTAACAATACCGCAAGCCGGTATCCTATTTCACACGGGATCGTTTGTGCATTACGAGTTAATGCGCGATATCAAAATTATTATGGAATATCCGTCGATGCAATTACAAGATTCCGCACAACGAACGGTAATATAGCGTATTTCATCTTTCCCTGTCGCATATGACAGTCCAAATATGTACTGCAACTAAAACTGAGAAATGCAATCCTTGGGATATGCTTCATTTACTGATCGCGTAGTGCCTCGTCTTCTTATCGTGTATGTACAAATTACAAATCTAAACGGTGTTTCAGAAATAACTTTTTTAGCAAATCATTATATAAAAATCGCAAAGAGTAATATAACTTTTATTTAATAAAATTGAATTTTAGAACCATGAAATAGTAAATGGATTGAACTAATGAGAGAAAAATACCTCGATTGAAACGAAATAATGGAATATATATATATTTTTTAAATATTAAAAATATCTAAATGACTTAACATTAATAAAATGTACATAAACAAATCATCATGTATGACAGGTTTGTTGCATTTATAAATCTTTCAGAAAATGTTCGCTACGTGGTGACAAAAAATTGAGTTCAGGTGAGTGGTAATTCTTTACATTTATGTATGTGCATATAAAAAAACGTATATATTTTACAAAAATATAATTTAATATCACAGTTGAAAGACGGTACACAATTATGTTTAATTCGTTCCATCTGGTCGTGATCTGCCCGCTACTTTCGGCATCTTTTTGTTCGTTGAATCTTCTATTTCTTTAGGCTTGTAATAATGAGGCGCCACTTCGAGCAGCCATTTGCTCTCGATTTCAGTCACCTACACATATGTTTTAATTCCAGTGAATTTATTTAGACAATTAAATTATATGAATTAAATTTACAAATCAACTCTTTTGTGCTCGCATACCTGGCGCATAAATTCCTTGGTAGTGAGTACAAGTTCGTGATAAAGAAGCCAACGCGGAAGGTCCTGGAATAGGGAGCTATTTGGATGTATTGCGACTTGTTGATTATGCTTTGCGGTCTTGTAACAACCTCCCTTCGACAAGCGTGCAACGTGATAGAAATAACCAGCTGTAATAGCCTGTATATAAAAATATTTCCATTATTTTGTGAAGAAATCATTAACATCAGCAGGTTGCGATGTTAACGTACCTTTCTAATATTGACTGTTTCTGCAATTCCCGAGACCAATTCCATCTCGACACGCTGCATCAGGCCTACTAGCTGTTCTCTAACGTCCCTCGCCCGTTTCATGGATCTGAAAGATAAATCATAACGAATGTATTTGTGAAATTTGTTAACATTGTGCACAGTATCGACATACCTGTGCTGTATGAAATTCTCGTAACACCAATGCGTACTGAAGTCACTCTGTGCCCATTGATTGTACACGTTAAGAAGAGTCAGATGATCACCGCCGGGTACGTGGAAATTCTTGCGCGCAGCATCCGCATGTATAATTTTGTCCTTCGGCCTATAAAAGATAGCGCCGTTGACCGAAAGCATAGCCGCGATAGTAGCCACCTCTTCCGAGCAGCGATACTTTTCGCTGGCTAACAGCATCTTCGCCATCATCGGGTCCAGCGGGAACTCAGCCATTCTACGTCCGAGTTTTGTCAATTCCCCGCGATGATTCAGCGCGCCCAATGCATACAGCTGTTCCATCGCCAAGATCAGTGTTTCGGGCGGTGGAGGATCCAAAAAATCAAAGTGCATCAAGTCGTCAATCCCGAGAGCTTTCAAAGTAAGTACTGCGTTACCTACAAACGTCATCGAAATGTTTTAACGAGTTCAACTTAAAGAAGATACGTGTAATTTGATCAAGATACCATTGATTCTTACCCAAGTTAATCCGTTGAATCTCAGGCACGGTGTTATCTTCAAGCTCATGCTGATAAGCCCAAGCTGTGTATAAACGGAAGCACTTTCCAGGTGCTACTCTTCCAGCGCGTCCCGCTCTTTGATTCGCGGACGCTTTGCTGATCGGCACGACTATTAAACTCTCCATGCCAGTGCGTGGATTGAAATTATTCTGCTTCGCATAACCAGGATCTATCACGTACACTATGTTGTCTATAGTTAATGAAGTCTCCGCTATATTAGTCGCCAGTACAACCTGGAAAAGACATAAAGATTTAAATTCCTTACACGAGGGATTTCGAAAAATTCTCTGAGGAAATGTCACCTTTCTCGCCCCAGGTGGAGTCGGTTGAAATATTTTTATCTGCATATCGCTCGGTAGATTCGCGTAAACAGGTAAAATCAAAAGTTCTGCCAATTTACTCCCCAGTCTTCTCACTCTCTCCTGTAACATTTCCTGACACGTCTCGATTTCCTCTTGCCCTGTACAAAAATACATTTTGTCATGCCACACAAGAGCATTTTAGACATTCTACTACTTACCAGTCAAGAATACCAGTATATCACCCGACGGCTGCGTTACGTGAATTTGAATAATGGAGACCACACACGCCTCGATATAATCTGATTCCGGCGCTTTTGTGTAATAGATGTCAACAGGAAAACGGCGTCCCGGTATCCTAAATATAGGAGCTTCGTCGAAGAATTCACTAAACTTCGTGGCATCCAGTGTAGCCGACGATATCAGTAGCTTCAGGTCAGGACGAAATCTCGCGATATCTTTCACCAGTCCGAATAATATGTCGGTATGTAAAGTACGTTCGTGCGCCTCGTCGATTATCATTACGCTGAAATATGCAACGACAAAATTATAACAAGTTATCAATATGTTATGATTTAAAGCCTATACAGCGCAGACAATTTTCATGTTGAAGATTATTCGTGATTGTTTTATTGTTCGCGTTTTCTTCTTAATTACTTCTTCTCAATTCTATCAGCAATGCACACAGAGACGCACCTGTACGACGCTAGATCAGGTTCGCTGAGGAACTCCCGGTGCAACGTACCATCGGTCATATATTTGATGCGGGTACGTTGCGACGTGCAATCTTCGAAACGAATGGCATAGCCGACCTCGTTGCCCAGCTTGACAGCCATTTCGTGGGCTACCCTCGCAGCCACCGACATGGCCGCTACTCGCCGCGGCTGCGTGCACCCGATAATCTTACCGTCGTCCGCAAATCCAGATTCGTACAGGTATTGTGGGATCTGCGTTGTCTTCCCCGATCCCGTCTCACCTTCTATTATCAAAACCTATAAATAATACAAATACGTGACGTTCTCGGCATCCTCACGTCGGGTTGACACTCTAGGTTCCAACATCCGCTTTCCACTTACCTGATGATCTCTAATGGCTCGTATCAGATCCTTTCTAAAGGGATAAATAGGCAGACTCTTCTTTGTCTCCTGTATCGTCTGCAAACTTTTAACATGCGCGGGTGGACTTTCCTCCCGTTTCTTATCCTTGTGTCCTGGCATGTGCAGCACTTGAACAAACTCTATCATCTCATCCTCCATGAGGAGATTATATTCTTGTTGAGCTGTGATAAAAGATTATAAAATTACTCAAGAGGAAGACGGAACAATTATATACCTTTAATAATTTAGTATATACCTTTCCTATCTTTAGCGCCAAAGCGAAAAACAGCCGACGACATCTGATCAGATTCCCATTTGCTTTGCTCCGATTGCGGAGG